CCCTTACTCATCATCACTCACCCACTCCTCCTCCTCCTCCTCCTCCTCCTCCTCCTCCTTATCATCATCATCATCATCATCATCATCCTCGTTCCTCATGATGCAATGTCAGCGAGCACCAAGCTCTGATCAAAAGCTCTCAATACCTCGACGCGCACGAGCGATCGACCTTCATGAGCAAGGCAGCAGCTGAGGTTGCAGCCAACCTGAAGAGCGCAAGGAGCACGTGGATGAGAGGTGAAATATCAGCGAGGGGAGAGGAGATGTCTGTTTATTCAAGAGTCTCCCTTTGTTTGCTGACAGCAAACTCTCCTCCATCTGCTCCTCACTTTGCCTCTGCTTTGTTTTTCTCTCCTTCTCCGTTGTGAATGTCTTTTGACTTGATATCACATCAGATGAAGGCTACAGAACTAGCTCCAAGACTAGGCCGGCAAGGTGGAACATAACATGAGCAACACAAGAAGTCTGATTGCTCTCTCGTTCCAGCGCGAACAAGACGAGGAGTCTCGTGACTCCTTCGCTGAAGAAGTTGCCAACTGCCAACAAGCAGAACCGTTCCGCCGTGCTCTTCGGTCAGCCATGCGCGCTCCTCTTCCTCCCTCCCTCCTCCTCCATTCACTTCCCTCTTCCTCCTCTTCCACCACCACCTCCTCCTCTTCCTCCCTTCCCCCTTCCCTAGTGCTCCTCCTCTTCCTCCCGTCTGATCTTCGTGACATGAAACGTGACAGGGACCAGAGATGTGAGAAGTGCAAGCTCGTCGAGAAGAGGAGATTCCAGTGGCCACGTTGAAAGCTTGAAATCCCAAAGAGAAATTTCAAAGAAGACCAATGGTGATTCTCAAACCTTCGATCATGTTCCGAAAGCCGAGTCGTTGAGAAACAGGATGGTAACAATATCCTCTCTGCTGCTCTTGTCCTACCAGACCACTCCTCTTCCACCTGAGACTCCATCTCCTCCTCCTCCACGCCACCACCATCTCCTCCTCCTCCACCGGCAGCACCATCTCCTCCTCCT